AGTACCAGGACAATATCGCGGCTTGTGACCCGAAACACACGGAATTCGAGATCATATCAAACATAGAGGGAAACAAACAAAATGCTTTCGTTTTGATATTTGTAGTATTTTGTTTCACTCAGAATTATAATTGATTAATTATATCATATAGATTTAAACTTTAAGTATGACTAGAGACTTCTCTTGAAGGAACATTGATATAGTACTACACCGAGCATACCAGATCCCAGGATTTTTCGGAACCACTGCTGTGACACGTCAAAATGTTGAATGAATCCACTTTTCTATTTATATTGGCTAGTCTAGGGGTGTAACAATACGGCAAAAACCGTATTGCAATATATTTCCATTTTGCTGAAGTGTATTGCAATATATTGCAATGCATATTGTCGTGTATATGTTTTGGTGTAAAGATGGAGTAACATTATATATTATTATTATATTATTATATTTTTAGTAGAAACTTAATAGAAATGTAAGGAATAAATAGAATGTAAAGTGTCACAAAATTTGATAAACAAAACTAGTCGCGTGTGACCTTTCACATCTGAGCCGCTTATGTAAATTATGCGGCCCCTTATTGACTTTTAAGTGTACTAGTTGTCGGATACTTTTATCTTACCTTGGCGCCAATAAAATTCACCAATTAAAGATTTTATGTGAAATTTGTACAAAATTAGAAGGCAATGAATTGAAAATTATGATTTTTATGAAATACCGGTTTTCCAAAAATCGTACTGCAGTACGAAATTTATTTTTTCATATTTTTCCATATATCGGTAAACCGGTAAACCGTTACACCCTAACTGGTAACGCAGTAGATAATGCAAAGAAGAAACACAATATATTGACGCTTTTGTCAACATTCTTTCTTCAATTAGGATGTCAGTAATAATAGATTTACAAATTAAACCTAACCAGACTAGTATTATTTACCTTTTACTTTATTTTTTTTTTTTCATTTTATCATCTGGAGACGAGGGGCTTTAAACAAGATCTACTCGTTAATTATTTAGAAACTCTACTGCAATGATCCTTAGATAGATTTCTGTAAACTATGATCACAGTTTCGGTCTGTTGATCAATACCCTTGCAGAAATTACTAGTAATTAACCAGGAATTTACAAGGAATTTACTGGGAACTCCAAGGAATAATTACTGCGATAATTCCTAGGAAATGCAAGGAAATCTGAGGAATTCCTAGTTACTGGCTGGCGGTAATTGGAACGACTGAAAAAAACTGGTAATAACTAGAAAAAAATGTGAAACCTGAGGAATGCCTAAGATGACTTGTACTGGAAAATCCTTATTACTCAGAACGACCTGCCCACGGTATTTGGGACATTTTTCTAGTCAATCCCAGGCATTTCAATGCAATTCAAAGACATATGATATAACAGTAATTCCTGATATTTTTTATTATTTTAGGAATGACTAAGAATGACCTGCCCACGGTATTTGGAACGTTTTTGTGTCGCCTTAAAAGGTACTTTTGTCGGCGGTCGGTGTCCCCTAAAGCTTGTCCGGAGCATAACTCAGTCACTATAAGTCTGATTGACTTCAAACTTGGTATGCATGCTTCTTTCAATAACCCGAAGTGCAGTGCACAAGGACCAGTACTCTGCAGTTCTTAATTTTTGAGTTATTGCCCTTTGTTAATTTTCATACTTTAATTTTGTCCGGGCCATTTCTCTTCAACTATAAAAGCTATGGACTCGAAACTTCATAGGATGATAGATCTCATTAAGAAGAAGTGCAGTGCACAAGAACTGGTACTCTGCATTTCCTAATTTTTGAGTTATTGCCCTTTGTTAATTTTCATACTTTATTTTTGTCCGGGCCATTTCTCCCAATGTATAAAAGCCATGGACTTAAAATCCATAGGATGATAGATCTCATTGAGAAGAAGTGCAGTGCACAAGAACCAGTACTCTGCATTTTTTATTTTTTGAGTTATTGCCCTTTGTTAATTTTCATACTTTATTTTTGTCATGGTCATTTCTCCTAAAGTATAAAAGCTATGGACTTGAAACTTCATAGGATGATAGATCTCATTAAGAAGAAGTGCAGTGCACAAGAACTGATACTCTGCATTTCTTATTTTTTGAGTTATTGCCCTTTGTTAATTTTCATACTTAATTTTTGTCCTGGTTATTTCTCCTCAAGTATGAAAGCTATGGACATGAAACTTCATAGGATGATAGATCTCATTAAGAAAAAGTGCAGTGTACAAGAACCGGTACTCTGCACTTCTTATTTGTGAGTTATCACCCTTTATTAATTTTCATACTTTATTTTTGTCCAGGCTTTTTCTCATAAATTATAAAAGATATGGACTTGAAACTTCATAGAATGATAGATCTTATTGATAAGAAGTGCAGTGCACAGAAACTGCTTCTCTGCACTTATTATATTTTGAGATATTGCCCTTTGTTAGTTTTCATATTTCATTTTTGTCCTGGCCATTTCTCCTAAACTATATTGTTCACAAGGCGACACATCCGACTCGCGGAATTCTAGTTTCTAGTCATTCCTTGGCATTTCAGAGTACTAGGTCCTGGTATTTCCATGATCTTAGGAATGGCTGGAATTGCCTAGGATTGCATTGTACTGGAAATTCCTAGCAACTGGGTATGACTGGACCACAGCTGAATTACTGTTACTAGGGCCACCAAAGGATCGTTACTATTAAAATCAAATAATCAGTTTTGTAGGACATATCTTTAAAAGTAATTGCTGACAATACAAGATGCCATTGGACACAGGGCAATCACATTACCTCACATAAGCACATTGTACTGATGTGAACTAAAATGTGCGTTTTTAAATTCAGTGAGATGACAAGCAGTTCAACATCAATCATAAGCAAACTATTAAATTTAATAAAAAGCATGTTTACATATGAATCAAAGTATTTTCCTAACAAATAATTGTTTTTGTATTGTTTAGACACACTTCTTTAGTCATATCATTGTAGTTACTAGAATGCAATGAGCTTTGGAAATAACATTTGAATTAAGATTCCTTTTTTACAAAAGACAAAGCATTCAACAGTCAATCAAGTTTTATAAAAATTTAAACAATTTCACAGATAAATTTACAAAAAATTTTGGAGATAAGGAATAGGTTATCAATGGAAACACTACTTTCCTATATAGAAAAGAACCACCAGTGATAATGTACAGATGTAACCTTGTTCAGTGTAGCAATACCACATGACCTTGATGTCATTTTCAGCATCATTTCCAAGACAAATATTGTTCGATTGAAAAGGAAAATAGCCGTAGATATTTTATTTCTGCACTGATTTCTTTGGGATATGCAACATTCTTCGGAGAAAAATATAAGCTTGCCATAGAATAGCGTTTTTCCTTCAGCATATGAGCCGTTTTATCAAACACTTTGTATAACCTTGAAAGTTGCATGTATAGCAGCGGACTTCAGTTGCAAGCTATTTTGTTTTCTTGTGTTATCTGATCTACGCCATGATTTAAAGTCGTGATTACATCAAGCGGGAGTAAGGAAGGCAAAATCTTACTTAAATATGTTTACATTGCAATTATTTATGGCGTAAACCTGAACTTTTTCTTCAATTGACAATTATGGCACCAGTTCCAAGCCAAAAATTTGGACTATAGTTTAAAGCAGTTTTCAGAATTGGTTACAAATGCGAAGAAACATGAATTCCGTTCTTTTTCTATAACAAAGGCTATTCTTATAGAAAAGTATGTTATTTGGGAAACAAATTATGCCTTGCCATTGTAATAACGCAGGCAGAGTCGTTCTTTTAGCAATGGCATCAAATGGTAAAACAATGAAAACAATAATTGGGGGGATGGACTCTCTCGCTAATGTTCTTAAACATACTGTTGCAAAAAATATATAGTTTGTTCCATTTGCTTGTTTTAATTTTGCGTCATTTGTTTGTTTTGCTAAGAATGCCCTAACAGAGTTATGTTTGACTATGATACAAAATAGAAAGAACATCATAACACTCTGCCATCTGATTAATACTCGGGGGCCTAGTGTTTTGATGCTCTTTCTATTACTAGGAATGCCCTAACAGAGTTATGTATGCCAGGTATCCCAACCTTTTGGCTTTTTAAGGATGTTTTCGTGAATTTTCATATAGACATACTCATACATGTCATATGCAAAATCAAAACTGTTCCATAGAGTTTCTTTAAACTTGTCACGTAGTTAGAAAATGTTAACAGAAACATTTAAGCGGAAAAATGGGGTCCTCAATAATATAATATTAAGTATAAAAAATCATATAATTAAAAATATTTGTTAATTGAGCCAAAACTCAATTATTTTAATTGTAATAAATTAATTACTTTGTGAAATTCTTTAATTAATTAAATTAATTGTCAATTAAATTCAATTAAATTCAAATAATCTGAATTCTGTGCACATTAACCATTGATCTGATTTAGGTAAAATGCATACTTTTTCACCTGTATAATGTTTGAAATAGATAATCTTTTAAGAATTAATAATCACCTGTCAATGATTTTAATACAGGTAGCTTTTCATGGGTATTGTCATGACTGATATAGCCTAAGGTATATACTGGCAAGTGTTTGTTGGTAACTATTGTTAAGATTAAAACTTGCCTGAAGTAAAAAGTATCAATCAATGGCTCACAAAAGTACTCACTTATCTTGCAATTTTTCTACAAAATAGTTTCAACACCATATTGTTACTTTCATTAAAGCAGGCAGGATCATCTGCACCCTTGGAGAGACTGCTCTCTATTGCAGGCAAAGTTTTTTGTCCTGATCGATGTAATATGAGTGACAAAACTTTGAAGCTCTCATGTTTGTTAAATGTAACAAGGCATTGTGAACAGAAAACAGACTGATGAGTTTGATTTAATGTTTTCTAAGTGAAAATTTTTTCTGTATCTGGTGTGCTTTGTAAACTATGTTATTAACCAGGTTTTCCGAAGGAAAAAACTGGTTATTAGATTGAGGTATGTCGGCGGGCGGGCGGGCGTAAACAATTTCTTCTGTGCGCAACTCCTCCTACATTTCTCAACGGATTTTGACCAAACTTTCACAGAAGCTTTGTCATCAAGTGCCCTGGCGCATATTGTCGGGGTTTTGCGATTAGATAATATTTGACCTAATTATGGCCCTTTGTTTTTTTTCTTTATATAGAATATATAGTGAACAATTTCTTCTGTGCGCAACTCCTCCTACATTTCTCAACATATTTTGACCAAACTTTCTCAGAAGCTTTGTCATCAAGTGCCCTGACACATATTGTCAGGGTTTTGCAATTGGTATATATTTGACCTAATTATGGCCCTTTGTTTTTTTTCCTTCAGGGTTTTGCAATTGGTATATATTTGACCTAATTATGGCCCTTTGTTTTTTTTCCTTATATAGAATATATAGTGAACAATTTCTTCTGTGCGCAACTCCTCCTACATTTCTCAACGGATTTTGACCAAACTTTCTTAGAAGCTTTGTTATCAAGTGCCTGGCACATATTGTCGGGGTTTTGTGATTGGATAATATTTGACCGAATTATGGCCCTTTGTATATTTTTTCCTTATACAGAACAATTTCTTCTGTGCTCAACTCCTCCTACATTTCTCAACGGATTTTGACCAAACTTTCTTAGAAGCTTTGTTTTCAAGTGCCTGGCACATATTGTCGGGGTTTTGTGATTGGATAATATTTGACCGAATTATGGCCCTTTGTATATTTTTTCCTTATACAGAACATATAGTGAACAATTTCTACAGTGCACAACTTCTCCTACATTTCTCAATGGATTTTGACCAAACTTTCACAGAAGCTTTGTCATCAAGTGCCCTGGCGCTCACTAAATTCCCATGTTTCTTCCAAGACATCATTCAAGTATTTTTTTAAAATTGTGAACATACTTTTCTTGATATCGCACAAAACACCACACGCCAATATTGTTGACAAAAGAAAATGACAAGAGACGCAAAAATGCAAAAATTAAGCAAAAATAAAGTACTGTTTACCTTTCTAAAACATTTGGGAAAAAAAGGCGAATAGACAACATAAAATTTCTCAATCATTTTTGTTTGAGGAATATTAAAAAAGCCATAATTCCTCCTAAAAGTTCAATTAAAAACAAATGCCCCTTCATGACAAAGCTTCTGTGAAATATTTTGCTGAAAACCTGGTTGCATCGCATTGCGATGTTCCTTGTTTTCATATTAAAACAGTTTAACTAGAAAATAATTAATTATTTTTGCAAATTTAATTGTAATTAATTAATTACAATGTGAAAATTCATGTAATTGTAATGTAATTGGGAAGTTTCCATTTTAATTGTAATTAATTAATTACTTTTAAAAATAATGGTACCCATCCCTGGTTGAAAATGTGAAGCAACATGCCTTTCGTTCTCTTTCTATAATTATGTTAACCAAGAAAAACATTTTATTAGGCAATAGAAAATAAATTCCCAGATTCTCATCCCCGCCCGCTCGGCAAAAATTGCTCCGCCCGAACAGTTTTTATTTTCAAAAAAAAAAAAAAAAAGAAGAAACAAAAAGAAAGAAACAAAAAGAATTAAGTATATAAGTGTATCATAATCTGTGCGGCCGAAAATCCGTCAGTCTCGGTCTCGGTCCTGGCTGAATAAAGATCGGATCATGCGGGCCGAGATAAAATTTCTTACCGTGAAAAATCCTCGTGTCCAAATAAAATTTCTAAGAGCTAAAAATAACCTGTTTTGATAGTTAAAATGAAATGTGTTAAAGAACTTTAACTATATTAAAGTTTGAGCCACAAAAGACCAATTTTGGACAAGTCAAATATTCAAATAAACAGCAGTTCATAAACAGCATCGGTAAATTTTGCCGTAAATTACAAATTTGGAAATTTTGTTTTACAATGCCTTTTAAAATAGCAGCTGAATAACAATCTTAAAATACTCATAAAATAATTAATCTGATAAAATCAAAATCAACGACAACTAGAATTGTGAATGGTTATGCAGAAAACAGACATTTTTTTCGTTTGTCACATATTTTCGCGATGCAGATTTTTATAATAAAAAAAGAAGTCACCAAAAGGAAGCCTTGTATTGATAAAAATTGTCCAATAACACTTCAAATATAGTTTATTAATTAAATTAACTTACTGTATTGTTTACATTAGTTAAGAATGAGACATTTGCCAGTTTGTGTTGTACAATGTATATTTTCTAAAGGGAGGGGGGTGTGTGGAATCACAGATATATTATACAAGCTCCATGATGGAATTAATCAAGAAGAAACAGCAGAATTGGGAGTCTCAGGATTTTGAAAATCCTAGTGAGGACCCTGATTATTTCTACTGACCACATTTTGTTTTGTTTCTTCATTGAAAGCCACAAAAAGAAAAGCCGTCATTTTGACATTCACCCAGGTTGTTATCATATAATACTTGAATTGTCACGGCCTGAAATAATCATCTGAACCAAATATAAACAAAAGGGTGCCGGTCCTTGTGGCCTTAAAAATGAATTTTGCATAGAATCTTCATGGTCTGAGCGTGCTGCTTGATTTTGTATGTAATCTTTATAATATCTAGTCATGGTATGAAAGTGAAAATAAGATCGCTTTTTAATATAATTGGTAAATCTCTGTACTTTCTTTGCCAAATTTTCAAAAGCTTAGATGTTATTTTTGCAATGTAATATATAAATAGGATTGTCTTTTTGTGTAGCTGCATTGGTTGAATAATTAATTTACTCATGTAAAAGCACTATTGATCAGCATAGGCATATAGTACATCTTTATTCAACTCCTTTATAAAATTAATATGTCTTATTTGTAACAATACATGTAGATCTATATATTGTTTTTTCATTTTGTCCAAACAATAATATGAAAGATTCAATAAAACACCTAGATCATTACAATCAAGATATATTATCATGTTACTTCTATTCTCAATCTGAATCTATATATCTTACATACACATAATATTAGAACCTATTATATACAACAAATTCCCAAATATTGACCTCCTTGTGTGTAATTCCAGACCAAGAATGGAAAATAAAAAATTAAAATTAAAATCCACCCACCCGCCCCATTTTTTCCCAAAATTTGGATGAGAATCTAGTTATTTATTTTCTATTGCCTTATGCAATGTAATGTGTATTATAAATAACGTATGTACACAAATGATTCTTACTCGCTGCACAATAAGTGATTTCAAAAGTCTGTATTTGTAAAGCAATTTCTTTGCTCTTAATCAATGCTCTTTCACAGTAATGATTGTGAAATATCTGTGAGTGTCATGAAGCATGTCAAAAAAGAGAAAAAAAACAAACAAAAAACAGAATCCCAAAAGAATGCCCACGATCGAGAATAATGCAGCCTTGGTTTGATGGACTGTACTGGAAAAAACAAACTACCGTCCACTCCTTTTCTAGAACTCCTTATACCCTTCGCAGTAAAATGGACTTTTTGTGTACATACATTACATCGTATAATAAAATGTTTTTCTTGGTTAAGATAAAAGAGAACGAAAAGCATGTTGCTTCACATTTGCAACCAATTCTGAAAACTGCTTTAAACTATAGTCTGAATTGTTAAAGTTATACATATTGGCGTATTTTAATTATTTCACTAAATAATATCTTTTTAAATCTTTGGTATTTTATGCGCACGATTTTTAGCTCACCTGAGCATATGCTCAGGGTGAGCTATTAGGATCACTCTTCGTCCGTCGTCTGTCGTACATTGTCTGTTCACACTTTTAAAACGACATCTCCTCTGAAACCATAAGGCAGATCATAATGAAACTTCACAGGGATGTTCCTTGTGTGAAGCCTTAACAAAGTTGTTCAAAGAATTTAATTCCATGCAGAACTCTGGTTGCCATGGCAACCGAAAGAAAAAACATTAAATATCTTCTTTTAAAAAGCCCTAAGAGTTAAAGCTTAGATATTTGACATGAAACATCTTCTAGTGAGTGTCTACCAAGTTTGTTCAAATAAAATCCCTGGGGTCAAAATTGGCCCCGCCCTAGGGGGTCATTGATTTTCCCTATATGCATATAGTAAAAACTTAAAAAATCTTCTTTTAAAGAACTCAAAGAGCTAGAGCTAAGAATTATTTAGTATGAAACATGTTCTAATGGGTGTCTACCAAGTTCGTTTAAATAAAAGCCCTTGGGTCAAAATTGGCCCCGCCCCAGGGATCATTGATTTTCCTTATGTGTGTATAGCAAAAACTTTAAAAATCTTCTTTGAAAAAACCCAAATAGCTAGAGTTTAGATATTAAGCATGAAACATCTTCTAGTGAGTGTCTACGAAGTTTGTTCAAATAAAAGCCCTGGGGTCGTAATTGGCCCCGCCCCGGGGGTCATTGATTTTCCTTATATGTGTATAGCAAAAACTTAAAAATCTTCTTTGAAAAAAACCCAAATAGGTAGAGTTTAGATATTAAGCATGAAACATCTTCTAGTAAGTGTCTACAAATTTTGTTCAGATAAAAGCCCTGGGGTCAAAATTTGCCCCGCCTCAGGGGGTCATTGATTTTCCCTATATGTGTATCAGGGCTGCCGATTTTCCGCGGATTCGCGGAAATCCGCGGATTTCGTGAGCACCTGGGTCATTTTTGAGATCGATGTAAATTCGACAAAGACAATAAATTCATTCAGTACAGTTCAAAAACCGGCAAGTTTCGGCTTTATCGTTACACTAGCTGCCTATGTCTGTAAGCGCTTTTCTCATTGTTCAAATCGAGTCTTTTCCGGCATTCTATTTTAGAATAACCAATCAAATTACCGTTTACATTGTCGCTCTTGTCTGTTGTCAAAATGCGTCAAAAATGTCGGATATTTGCTTTGAGGGCTGATGAAAATCTGAAGTCCAACTAAAGTGTCTCTGAATGGCTTTAAAGGCAACCAAGGAAGTCAAATTTAGAGTCCATGAAATTGATTTAAGGGCATACCAAATCATCAGAATCCAGGAGCTTCCGGGGGCTACGCCCCCTGGACCCCCACCAGGGCTCTGCCCTGGACCTGCAAAGGGTGCTTGCGCAGCCCCCTTGATCCCCGGCGTATTTTCCTCTGATTTTGCAATTTGCTGTTGGCAGCCCCTGGTGTATACAGTGTAACTTCTGAAAACCGAACACCCATGGGACTTGTCAAAAAGTTCGGATTTCAGAGGTTTCCGGAATTCAGAGGTTTAGGATAATGTGGACAAGACTAAGCCACTAGATGTCACTGAATGTCAAGAAAAATGTAGCCATTACTGTAATATCATATATAATAGTCTTTTAATCAAGATAAAGATGTGAAGGAAAAGAAAACATTTATATTTGACACTTTATTTAATACTTAATAATAATGCAAATTTCTAAAAAGACCATTATTTAAAGATTGTTCTGTCTTCATTTTAATCAATTAAAGTTTGCTCATTTTTATCTTACTTGCAAATGCCTTTGAATTTCTATCAGTTTGTAGAAATGTTGTTAATTGC